CTCTCTCCTTCTACTCGCTCCTTCATCTCCTTCTATCATCTATCCTCCATACTCCTGATAGGATATCTCATCCTATGCATACATATACTGCTATCGCCCTATCCAGTCTATCTATGGGGAAAGGGAGAGGGAGGGGCAGGAAGGAGGAGGGGGGGAGGGGGGAAGACAGGGGAATACTATCTCTATATCATATATCTACTATACGTAAGACATCATCTCACTATATATATATTAATCTCTATTATATGAATATTCTTATATATATATATATGAGTTGCAGATATTCTCTATTATTATTATATATATATGTATCAATATCTCGTCTCTATCAGATAGATTTCTATATATCTACTATCTATATATCTATATTTATTATTATATATCTATTATATATATCGCTCTACTCTCCTCTATAATATATTATAATCTCTCTACTTACTCTCCTATCTTCATATATTTCTATATATTCTCTATTATATCTTCTATATACATTCTATATCTTATATATCTCTCTATATCATCTCCAATTTAATCTATCTATATCGAAACTTATATATATATATATCTAATAGATCTCTCTATATTCTATATTATCTCTCTCTACTCTCTATTTCTCTCTCTGATATCTGTCTCTATTATCTCTTCTCTTTATATAATTTTCTCTTTCTCTCTTTATCTCTTTCCTATATTTTTCTATCTATTATATCTCTATCTATTCTCTATCTCTGCTTATCTATATTTATATATTATACATATATCATACTCTATCTCTCTATCTATTCATCCATATATATATCTATATATGTTATATAATGTCGTCACAGGTGTAGTAAGGGGAGGTACCGGGGATGGGGCTCGTGAACGAGTCCTACATAGTCAGTCAGAATAGAGGTGACTACGAGTGCAGTGAACGAGGAAAGGGTGGCCGGGGGGGATAGTTATCTCAGATTATATCTATGTATAGTATATTATATTAATGTATATTTTTATATATGTATATGAATATAGAGATATATTATTATAGATATATTAATATATATTATATATATATATGTATATATAGATATTCTATATTATTATACAATATATCTCTATTATATATCTATATAGATATATATATATATATATATTATATATATATAGATATATATTTATATATATTCTCTATATTATTATATATATATATATATATATATATCGATCTTATATGTATATATATTATTTATTATATATATAATATTAATTATCTCTATATATTATATATCTAATATATATTCATTCTATAATATATATATATCTTATTTATATCTCTTATCTCTCTCTCTCCTCTATCTCTCCTTATTTCTCTCTCTATATCTCTAATCTCTTATATATATCTCTCTGTCATCTATCTCTACTCTCATCTCATTCTCTCTCTTCTATGTCTTCTATATATCTTATATCCCTCTTCTCCTCTCTCTCTGTCTCCTCTCTCAATTCTATCTCTCTCTCTCTATCTATCTTATCTATATTCTCTATATATTCTACCTCTTCTCTATCTCATATCTATGTCCCTCTGTATATACTCTATCTATCTCTATCTCTCTCTCTCTCCTTCTCTCTCTCTAATCTTATATTCGCGTCTCCTCTCTATCTATCATCTCTCTCTCCTTCTCTCGCTTCGCTTCTCTCTCTTCTATCTCTCTCGCTCTCTTCCTGCTCTCTCTTCTCTCTCTTCTCTATCTCTCTACTTCTCTCTCTCTTCCTCTTCTCTCATTCCTCTCTCTCTCTCTCTCCTCTTCTAGTCTTCTCTCTAGGCCTCTATCTCTCTCTTCTCTCTTCTCTCCTCTCGCTCTCTTCTCTCTCTCTCTCTCTCTCTATCTCTCTTCATCTTCTGCTCTCATCTCTCTCTCCCTCTCTCTCTCTCCTCTCTCTCTTCCTCTCTTCTCTCTCTCTCTCTTTCTCTCTCTCTCTTCTATCTCCTCTCATCCTACTCTCTCTCTCTCTCTCGATCTCCTCATCTCTCTCTATCTCTCCTTCTCTCTCTCTCTCTCTCTCTATTCTCTCTCTCTCTCTCTCTTCTACCTTATCATCTCCTCTTCTCTCTATCTCTCTCTCTCGTCTCGCTCTCTCTCTCTCTCATCTATTCTCTCTACTCTCTTATCTCTCTCTCTCTCTTTCTCTCTCATCTCTCCTTATCTCTCTCATCGCTCCTCTCTCTCATCTCTCTCGCTCTCTATCTCTCTCTCTCTCCATCTTCTATATATTCGCTCTCTCTCTCTCCCATCTCTCCCCCCCCTCTCTCCTTCTCTCTTCTCTCTCGCCCTCCTCTCTTCTCTTCTCTCTCTCTCTTTCTCTTCTTCTCTTCATATCTCTCTTCCTCTTCTGCTCTATTATCTCTTCTATCTCTCTCTTCCATCTCTCTCCTCTTGCTCTCTATATCCTCGATCATCGCTCTCTTCTCTATCTCTCTCTACCTATCTCTCTCCTCATCCCTATCTCTTCTCTCTCTCTCTCCCTCTCCTCTATATCTCATCTCTCATCTCTCTACCTCTATCTCCATCTATCTCTCCCTCTCTCTCCCTCTATATCCATACTCATCATCTCTCCGCTATCCCTCTCATCTGTATCTATTCGCTAATCTATCTCTCTCTCCTCTATCTCTAATTCTCTACCTCTTCTCTCTTCCTCTCTCTCTTCGCTTATCTATCTCTCTCTCTATCTACTCTACCTCTCTATCTCTCCCTCTCTTTCCCTCTTCTCTCTACATCTCCTATCTCTATCTATATATATACATAGATCTCCCATAGCTATCTACATATATCATACTCCGATAATCTATCTACTATATCTCTCTATATCTCTCTCTCTCTCTCTCTCTCTTCTGTCTCTCTATCTCTCCTATGTCTCAATATCTCTCCTGTGTATCTCTTCTTCTCTGTATCTCTCTTCTCTCTCTCTATACATCTATTCTCATATATCCCTCTATCTTCTAATCTACATATCTTATTCCTGTCATCTCTCTCTCTCTATCTACCAATATACTCATCTATTACTACTATATCCATCTATATCTCTCTATATATCTTTCTATAAGCTACTCTAGATATATGCATCTATCTCTATACCATCGATCTATCTACATATATATCTCTCTCTCTATCTATCTATCTCTCTCTACTTTCATCGTCTCTCTCTCTACCTCTCTCTATCGCCATACTATATACATCTATCTATATACATATCTATCTATCTATACTCTCTAATACCTCTCATCAACCTACATATAATATCCATATCTATCTCTCTCCTCCTATCTATCTCTCTATCTCTCTCTCTCTCTGTATCTCTCATCTCTCTATGTCCTTCTTCTATCTCTCTCTCTCTCTCTCTCTATATGTATCTATCTCTCTCTCTCTTCTATCTATCTCTATATCTCTCCCTCTCGTCTCTCTATCTCCTCTCTCTGCCCTCTCTGTCTCTCTCTATATCTATCTCTCTATCTCTCTCTCTACATAATCTATATACTATCTACCAATATCATCTATTATCTGTCCGTATCTATCTATCTCTATATCCCTCTCTCTCTGTCGTGCTCTCTCTCTCATCTATCTATCTAGATATCATCTCTATATATCATGTCTACTCTCTTGTCTCTCTGTCTCTCTCTCTTCTCTCTCCTCTCTTTCTCTATCTCTCTATTCTCTCTCTCTTCTCTCGCTCCTTCTCGCTCTCTCCTCCTTCTCTGCTCGCTCCTCTCTCTCGCTATCTTCTATACTTCTATCTTCTACATTCCCTCTAATCCCTCTACTCTCTCTCTATCTCTCTCCCTCTCTCTCTCTCTCTTCTCTCTCTCTCTCTCTCCCTTCCTCTCTATCTCTAGATCTCCCCTTCTTCTCTATATATCTTCTTCTCTCTCTCTGCTCTCTGGTTTCTCCTCTCTCTCTCTCTACATCTCTTCTGTCGCTCTATCTCTCTCTCTCTCTCTGTCTCTCTCTCGCATCTCTCTTTTCTCTCTCTTCTCTCTCTCTCTTCTCTCTCCGTTATCTCTCTCTTTCTCTCTCTCTTATCCTCTCCGTTCTCTCTGTCTCTCTCTATTCTCTCGTCTCTCTCTCCCTATCTCTATCATCTATCTCTCTCTCTCTCCTCTCTCTCTCATCTCTCTCTCTCGTCTCTCTCTCTCTCTACTCTTTCGCTACCTCTCTACTCTTCTCCGCTCTCTCTCGTCCTCTGCTCTGTGTCTACTGTCTCTTTATCATGTGTACTCTCTCTCTCTGTCTCTGTGTTCCTTCTCTCTGTCCTGTGTCTCTCTCGTCTCTTTTGGATCTCTGTGTCTCTTCTCTCTTGTTCTGTGTATCTCTCTCTATTGTTATGTGTATTCTCTTCTCTATGTCTCATGTGTCTCATCTCTCTCTGGGGGGGGAGGAGGGGAGGCTCGTGTCTTCTCTCTGTCTCTGTGTTCTCTCTCTTTTCTCTGTGTCTCTCTCCTCTCTTTTCTGTGTCTCTCTCTCTCTGTCTCTGTGTCTCTCCTCTTATGTCTCTGTGTCTCTCTCTCCTCTCTGTTCTCCTCTCTCTCCACCTCTCTCTCTCTCTCTCTCTCTTTATCTATCTCTCTCTCTTCTCTACTCTCTCCTGTCTCTCTTTGTATACCTTGTATTCTGTGCCTATACTTCCTTTGTATTGTCTCTTTCGGGCTTGTGCTCATCTTGCTACCTTTGTCTATTTTTCCTCATCGCTTGTTGTCTCCCAAATGTTTACTTTTCAGACCACATCTTACACCCCATCCACATATGTCATGCACTTCTTTTTCCTGTCTCTTTCCCTATCTTCTGTATACGGTTCCCGGAACTCCTTAGTCTCATGTTTCTGTAATTGATGGAGGGTTTAGCGGATACTCTTATCACCTTTTGGGGAATTTGTACTTAGAATCCAAGAAAATAGTTGCAACTTAAAGGAGAGAAGGAACCCTCCATCATCACCATTATTACTACCATGCCTCTCACTATCCACCATAATTCCAGAGAGGAGTCTCCCTTCAATGTGACAAACTACCAAGCAGTGTCACCGAGTTCCTCTTCTCCCTCGCTTCTGACAAAGGGCTCGGATGGCATCCATGAGATAAGCACAGATGAATATGTTGCCATGATCAGTGACATCCTCCACATTGGCAAGAATGTGTGCTTATGCCGCCACTTCCACCTAATGGACAAGGCAGCTATAATGAAGTAATATTTTTTTTTACCTTATGTCAGGGATTGATGGAATAGTTTTATTTTATGTTAAACTGTATTGCTATGTCTCTTTTCTTAATGCCCAGAGACATTTGCTTACATATTGCGTGATGGTAATAGAATGATATTACAATTTACGAATAATGGCAGATTGATTTGTTTTTGTTTTGTTTTATATTGTAGATTTTGCCATTGAGTATGGTACTATATATATTATATGAATCAGGAACATTGTATTGATGAAGAAAAGATTAGTAAGTAATGATTAAAAAAAAAAATTATCCCCTATTGCAAATAAAGCCACCAAGGAATTTGGATGCACAACAAACCTCACAAATGACATTCAAGGGTGGGGAGCCTTTAGTGTGGCCAACTGGGTTTAGGTGGCTCATCTGCAGTAAGTAAATGGTTTGTTATTTTTTGATAATTTAATGATTAATTTCTCATTTTCAGGAAAGATAGACCAAAGCAGTATATTGATGTATGGCCCATAGACTTCTTCTGCCCTGATGAGTCGAACATATTTGGCACAACTTCCCTTTTCCTGATGCAGCTTGCAACTATTCTAAATATGGTATGTCTTTTATTACAGTATGACTTTTTATCTTCTGCTTTTCTTCTTGTTCACATAAATAGTTTTATCAAAACCTTTTATGTGTTGCCAGATAGGGTATAGTAAAGGTTTAATTTTTTTAATGCATATTAACTGATAATTAAGTGTGTAATTAAGTGTGCGCATGAGTGTATGAGTGTGCACACGAGTGTTAGGGTGTGCGCCTGAGTGCATGTGTGTATGAGTGTTTGCGCGAGTGTTAGGGTGTGCACGTGAGTGCACAAGTGCACGAGTGTGCGCCTGAGTGCATGAGTGCGCACGCGTGTGTTAGAGTGTGTGCACGAGTGCGCACGCGTGTGTTAGAGTGTGTGCATGAGTGTTAGAATGCACGCACGAGTGTTAGGGTGTGCACGTGAGTGTTAGGGTGTGCGCCCGAGTGTTAGGGTGCGCCAGTATACGCGAGTGTTAGAGTATGTGCCCGAGTGTGCGCGAGTGCATGAGCGGGCACGCGAGTGCAAGGGGGTGCGAGAGAGTGTTAGAGTGCGTGCTCGAATGTATGAGTGTGCGCGCGTGTGCAAGTATGCTGTGTCTGCCTTCCTTGGCAGACATGGCACAGTTGGTAGCCCATGATACTCTCCAAAGGGATATTTCAACTGAGTTGAGGATTTATCTTCCCTACTTCCCATTTTTGGGAAGGTTTTCTCAACAAAAGTAATATAGAAAATTAAGTGATAACTCTGGGACGTGAGAAGGGTAGAGTTAAACTAACTCTAAAAAATTGATTTTTCGTTGCGCCTACAATTCCCTTCTGTCAAATTAAATAAAATTCAATATAAAAATATATAATAAAGTACTCTTTCATCCTACCAAATTTCATTAAAATCTGTATGACCATTTTCTATTTTTCAACAAAAAAGTGAAAATCGGCATATTCTCAGGGATGGTTCCCTTAACCCATTTGCCTCGGATTTATGTTCTCTCCCCTGTAGTTTTTGGTGAATCTTGTTACATACAGATGGCTCCACATGTGGCAAGGAGTCTATCAGTAGGCCCAAGTTACTGACCCTGATTTTGCCATTCATTGAATTGGTGGGAAAATTAATACCATTGCTATCGATACTGTTATTATTGTTATTGATGTTATGATTATTAAATTGTCATTAGAATATTTTAGACAACGAAATGATACAAAAAACCCTTTCCTAAAATGAAGGAAAAGGGTAAACAGGTGAAATAGGTAGTTCTTGATAACTGGCTATTTGGTGATTAAGAACTTGTGGAGCCATCTATGGGTAAATACAATAAATAAGTGTGTATCAAAGTGGATATGGCATCTATTCTTGCCACATGGGGCGAATGGATTAAGTGTTATATGTAATATCCTTTGATGTTTCAATAGGTATCAACTTGGAGGAAAAGGACAATGCTGCGTGTGTTCCTCTGTGTGTCATCACGTGAT